CGTTGTCTCACATGAGGCATGCACCGCCCGTTCTGCCTCACATGTGCTATGCAACCCTGCAGACAACAAGTCTCCTACACCGCCTGGAGGGAAGTAGGGAGTATTGTAGTGGGTTTCTCCCCTACAAACGCTGTTTGTCGCTGCGTAGCCGACCCCACGAATTTCCCAGTGTATGCCTCGTGGTCTAGGTCAACCAGCACCGCCCACGGAGCGGGGGTCAACTACTAAGCCACGCCAACCCCCACTATTTAAGACCTGACCTCGTGGTGATCGCTCTCTTTCTACCTACACCAACCAGCCAGCAACACCTCCTCCTCCGCCTGCCTGGCGGTCCTCGCTCCCGCCGGAGAGCATGGCAACCCACAAGCTGGTCGTCCTTTGAGCATCCTCACCAACCAGCTCTCTCTACATCACGCTTGTAACCATGCTGCCTTCCCAGCACCAAGCTGCATTGTACATCCAATACAACATGTATACAAATAGCACATTGTGAGTTTCCTTTCTCCATCCCATCCTGAGTGTGAACACAAACAACTCATACCCCACAAGTTCAGTATTGCTGGATATGACTCCTTTACGAACCTTTCAAGAAACTTGCAAGAGGGGTGTGGTTATCTATGCTAGGCAAGACCTTAGAGCCAGCCAGGCGAGGGTACAGGGAGAGTATATTTTTGAAGATTCCAAGTGGGGTAAAATTAAATTAAAGTGAGGGGACTTACTTATCGTAGGGTGTATCTACAGATCATCAAACTGTGGCCCACTAAATCAAAGGAACTTAAGAGCCTTAATAGACAACTCGGCGATGCTCAACCCTAGCCACCTCCTTATCATGGGGGACTTTAACTATGGCGACATCGATTGGAGAAACGAGTTCACCCCAAATGACTTGAAGAACCCTGCTACTCTTTTTGTGAAACTCTGAGAGATAATTTTCTGTTCCAACATGTTAGAGACCCAACACATTACAGAGGGGAGCAAACACCCAAACCACTAGACCTCATCATTACAAACGAGGAGGGTATGGTGGCCAAACTGGAACACCTTGTCCCAGTTGGCACCAGTCACCATATAGTGTTGTCATTCAGATTTAACTGTTACCTAGTTCAGGATAAGGCCAGACCAAGGTGCAAATATTACAAGGGAAATAACAACGGGATGAGGGAAGAGACGAGGGGTATCCACTGGCTTGACTCATTAAAGCACAAGAACGCAGACACTATGCTGAATATTATAACTACTAAAGTGACCCATTTGATCAATAAATATATACCCAAGACCAAACCCAGTGCCTCTAGGAATATAAGGGGATCCCCACACATGAACCACGTGGCGTTCGACAAAGTTAAGAAGAAAACCCAGAATTTCAAGACGTTGGTTGGGTCAAACGATGAGCAGGACAGGAGGATGTATGCAAGAGCCAGAAACCAAGCAAAGATAGAGTGTAGAAGGACTGAAAAGGAGTTCCAGAGGCTGGTTGCAAGCGAGGTCAAGTCAAACCCAAAGGCGTTTTACCGCTATGCAAAGTCGAAATTAAAAATGCGAGTACGAGTATCAGACTTAACTAAGTCTTGAAGATGGTAGTTATGCAGATTCTGACCAGGATAAAGCTGAGGCATTGAACAGCTTCTTTTTTTCTGTGTTCACAAGAGAGGATGCGATTAACCTTCCTGCGTTTGAGGACAGACGGTTTGACACAGCACTGACCCGCATTGTGTTCACAGAAGAGGGTATTAGAAATAAACTGTCAAAGCTAAAGGTCCATAAGAGTCCCGGCCATGACATGGAACATCCGAAAGTGCAACGAGCTTGCCGAGCCCCTAAAGGTCCTGTTTTGTAAATGCCTGGATGAACAAAAGGTCCCCAGTGAATGGAAAGTGGCTTATGTGAGTACTATCTTCAAGAAGGGCGATCGTCACTCCACGAACAACTATAGACCGGTGAGCCTGACCAGCATATTATGTAAAGTACTTGAGAGTATTATCAGAGATGCCGCAATGGAACATCTACAATGAAACAACCTTGTAAAGGATTGCCAACACGGTTTTATGCTAGGGTGCTCCTACTTAACACAACTGCTCAAGGAATTGGATATTTGGACACATATTCTGGAACGGGGTGGTAATATCGACAATATTTACCTAGGTTTTGCCAAGGCTTTCTACAGTGTACCCCAAGAAAGGCTGAAAATCAAACTGGAAGGGTACGAAATTCGGGGAAATGTCCTAGCGTGGATAGAAGACTTTCTACATGACCGCAAGCAGTGTGTGGTGATTAATGGTACGAAAAAATCATCCGTACCTGTCACAAGCGGGGTACCACAGGGCAGTGCATTGGGCCCTCTGTTGTTTGTTTGTTTCATAAATGATATGCCTGACGTTGTACACTCCTCCATACAAATGTTTGCCGATGACGCCTAGTTATTTCGGGAAATCAAGAACCAAGCGGACTGTGAAGAGCTGTAGAAGGACCTCTGTGGGCTCCAAGAATGGTCGAATAAATGTCTAGATGTCACGAAGTGTAAGAGGATGCACCTGGGGCATACCAACGGTAAGGAGGCGTATCATATGTCCCAACGGGATGAAGAAACTGCACTATTTGAGACTGAATGTGAGAAGGACCTAGGTGTGTATGTTCACAATGAGCTGAAGTTCTCGGGACATTGCGAGAAGAAGGTAAATCAGGCAAATAAATTATTGGGCCTTATAAGAAGGTCGTTCAGATATCTAGACGGTCCGTCCCTCGTAACGATCTTCAAGAGTGAAGTGCTTCCCCATCTTGAGTACTGTCACCCCGTCTGGTCTCCGAGATATGCTAGGGACTGTCAGTTGGTTGAAAATGTTCAAAGGAGGGCCACCAGACTGGTGCCTGCCCTTCGGCACGTCAGCTACCCTGAGAGATTGGTGTGCATGAACTTGCCTAGCTTATACTACAGATGGGCAAGGGGGGGACCTAATAGAGGTGTATAAGCATCACAAGGGGCACTACTCAGTTTAGTGTCCTTACTTGGAGCTGGCGGACGCTCGCCCCACAAGGGGTCACAGCTCAAGATTGAAGAAGTCGTAGGTCCAGAAAACTGTGAGGGCAAACTTTTTCGGAGTGAGAGTTGTGAACTCTTGGAACTATTTACCAGAAAGTGTTGTGACGGTGTAGTGGATTTCTCCCCTACAAACGCTGTTTGTCGCTGAATAGCCGACCCCACCAATTCCCCAGTGTATGCCTCGTGGTCTAGGTCAACCAGCGCCGCCATACATCACGGAGCGGGGGTTAACTACTAAGCCACGCCTACCCCCCGCTATTTAAGACCTGACCTCGTGGTGACCTGTCTCTCCTTCTACCTACACCAACTAGCCAGCAACACCTCCTTCTGCTGCTGCCTGGCGGCCCTCGCCTCCTCCGCCCTGCTCATAGGTCCTCTTCTGCCGGGCGAGAGCATGGCGACCCACAAGCTGTCCTTCTCTGAGCGTCCTCACCAACCAGCTCTCTCTACATCACGCTTGTAACCATGCTGCCTTCCCAGCACCAAGCTGCATTGTACATCCAATACAACATGTATATAGAGAGCACATTGTAAGTTTCCTTTCTCCACCCCATCCTGAGTGTGAACCAAACAATCTCATCCCCACAAATGGTGACCCCGGAGTGACACGACGGCACCGAATGCGAGGTCTTTCAAGACAAGACTTGACCAACACTGGAGCGGGTTCAGGTACATTTATTAGCTGGTGTATGCCCAATGCTTGCCAACAGTGCGTAACAAAGACGTGACCGATCGCCCAAGCGGCTAACGAACCGATCAGTGGGAAGAGGATAAAGGTAAAAGCAGGGCCTGATTAAGCTTAATAGGGGCCTGAGGCACAGATCAACTTGGGGCCCCTACCCTCAAGGTATATATAAATAACAAGAACAAAATATACCCAAATTTATCAATGATTTCATCAATATTAAGCTTCTGCAAAATAACACATTTAATGTTCATAAGAGACAGAAAATTGAGACGTTGCTAGGACATCGTTGAACGAAGTTCATGTTTTATACGCTTCAACTTCGAGAATGTTTGGAATTGGGGGCCCCTTAGATCGGGAGGGGCCTGAGGCCAGTGCCTCAAGTGCCTCATAGTTAATCCGGCACTGGGTAAAAGTAAAGTAACAAAGAACAGACCAACCGCCCGAACGACTTGCAAATGGTGAAATAATGAATATAAAAAAATCTTATTGCAAATGTAATAAAACAAGAAAAGTTAAGTGAAATGCCTCGTAGACATAAAATAAAGGGAGTAAGATTATATTAAGAAATAGTAAGATTGTCATTAAGTGGGTATAATTTAAATGTCTTGGTTGGCAGGATCAGCTGACGCAGTGCTTTAAATTGGCGGGACAATTTAAAGCATTCACGAGCTAACGGAGTGTTGATATTAGACTTTATATTTGTTTGATGCGAAAAATAATTCATTTTTTAATGACTTCCATATAATTTGAAATGAGGAAACTTTAGGAAAGTTAAATATTTAATTGTAGAAAATTTTTGTCAATTCTATTTTATTGGAAATTAAAGTCTCAATATTTATGTTTCAGACTTCTTCGGTCAATTGAGTACTTCAATTTTTATCACCTGTTATTTATTATTATTATATTTATATAAATGTGCATACGAGAGTCGAGACAACACATATCACAATATTTTATGAGCCCGTAATACTATGTAGTAACACTGACTGAAATAGTTTATTAATATTCATTCACGTCCAAGCTAAACATCTAACCATAAATCGTAAAGATAAATAATATTTGGGATGTATGGGGAGATAATCACACTTAACATTGATTACCTTAATCTCTCAATATTAATATACTGTGGAAGGCTGGAATATTCAGCAGCTGTAGGTCCTGCTAAGGGAGTCACGTGACCCTGCGATTTAAAGTTTCAGCCAATGGGGGCGCGTTCTACCACCTCCATCCACCAATCAGCGCTTTGTGTATACCACCTCGCATTCAAAACTTCTAAACTCGAGAAGTGAGGAAGTGCTCGAGAAGGTGTGTTTATATTTGTGATATTTTGGATAAAAGAAGCAAAATGACGAGCCATCAGAAGGAAGAAACGAAGAAGGAGTTACCTGAAGTACTTTTAGACCCAAGTACGGGCAATAAGTATCAAAGAGGAAAGTTTTTAGGAAAGGTAAGTGAACTGAGGTCTCTCACTCGGGATGTTACTTGTATACATGACACTAACGATGTAAAAGTTATAGGGAATTAGTTTAAGCTGTTTAAGTTATTATTTTTTTAATTTTATACCAGGATATCGTGAACTGAAGGTTCATAAATTAAATTTGAACCATTATAAGTAGATATGATGTTGCCCCAGTTCTGAGATAACGTTACTTGGGATTACTAGTTTGTTACAACTCTGCTTCCATAGAGTATGTTTAAGACTAATAAGACTTATTCAAATGATATAAGAGTTAGATAATTAATGAAACTACAATGTAAAGTTCGTCCTCTGCTTTAAAAATGTGGCAGACACCGAGTACTGGAGGCAAGTTACTGTGTACTCGACTACAGCTTTGTGTCTTGTAAGATGAAATAATTTTAAAACTGCTGTGTTACTGAAGCTGTATACTAGATGCCGGTAATATGTAATATATAGTATATATTATACTATATATTATTTATACTTAAAGAGTGAATGTACAGGTATACTGTACTAAGCAATACCTGGTGTAATATCGGGGTATGTTGAACTAAGGATATTTCAGAATTATTCTACATGACTATATTATATAAAGAGATGTTACCAAGCGACGGAGAGGTATCCTGTACAGGGAGCTGAAATACTGAAGTTTTATTTTAAATTAAGGAAGGTAAGGGTGGTATCTTATAGGGTGTTTGTCCTCAGCTGAGTAAACTGTTATCACCATAGGTTACCAAAGGAAGGATGCAGTACAGTACTTATTAAACAGGCAAAGGGTTCTCAGTTTCCTTCTTCATTGTTTTATTGCTTCTCTTCATGCTTGTAGGTTAGTCAGTCTTAATCTAATTAAATTTTTCTGTCTGAAGACAGACAAGACTTTTATATAGGATGAGTTTGTGAGAGGAAGAAATCCAGAAAGAACTTATATGAAAATTATTATTATTATTTTTTTTTAAGTTGGAAAATATAATTTACTCCAGTGAAGGATTATGAGTTCTGGAAATTAGAGAACATAAGAATGGAGGAAACTGCAGTGCCTATTGGCCCAAACTGGGCAGTCCCATTTACACCCAACCCCCATTGCTCATATATCCATCCAACCCATGTTTGAAGCGATCCAGCGTATTCGAGTTAATTATGATATTTGGTAACTTGTTCTACTCGTCCAATACTCTATTTCCAAACCAATGTTTACCTATTTCGCGCCTAAATCTAAATTTGTCTAATTTAAAACTATTGTTACGAGTTTGCTCCTGGTTGGATAGTTTGAGTACCTTTGTTCAGCCCTGACTTCCATTTATACACCTCTATCATATCGCCCCTCACTCTCCGTCTCAAGGGAGTGCAAATTAAGATGCTTTAACCTGTCTCTGTACTCAAGGTTCCTAATGCCCAGGATTAGTCTTGTCATTCTCCTCTGAATTCTTTCCAAGGATTCTATATCCATTCTGTAATACAGTGACCGGAATTGAACTGCGTAATCCAAGTGAGGTCTCACAAGCGCAAGATATAGTTTAGGATGACCTCGCTAGTCTTGTAACTAACACTCCTTTGTATGAACCCAAGTACTTTATTAGCCCTGTTTCGAGCAAATACACATTATTTACTTGGCTTAAGATTCCTACTTATCATTACTCCTAAATCCTTCTCGCAGTCGGATTTCTCCATAACATCATTGTTCATCTGGTATCTGGTTTCCCTGTTTACATCTCCTATTCTGCATACTTTACATTTGTCCACATTGAATTTCATCTACCATTTTTCAGACCATTCGAAAAATTTGCCTAGATCTTCCTGTAGTTTTGCGAAGTCCTCGTCAGATTTAATTACACTCCCTATTTGAGTGTCATCAGCAAATTTACTTATGTTGCTGTCTACGTCGATATCTATGTCGTTTATGTATATAATAAATAATAATGGTCCAAGTACTGAGCCTTCGGGATCTCCACTAGTGACGTTGCTCCAATCGGATTTAGTGCCATTAATGCTCACTCGCTGTTTCCTGTCCTGTAACCGTGCCCTAATCCACTTTAGAATATCTCCTTTAATGCCGTGAGCCTCCACTTTTCGTGGGGACTCTGTCGAAGGCTTTGCTAAAGTCGAGATATACCACAACATAATTGTGCCCCTTGTCCTCTGATTCAAAAACAGATGAAAAGAATGTTAATAGATTAGTTAGACATGAACGCCCGCTTGTGAAGCCATGTTGAGAATCATTGATCAACTTGTGCTTCTCCAGGTGATTTCGAATAGAGTTTGAAATGATTGCTTCCAGTAATTTGCCTACAATTGATGTTAGACTAATTGGACGGTAGTTAGAGGATAGTGATTTGTCTCCCTTCTTGAAAATCGGTATTACATTTGCTATTCTCCAGGATTCTGGTACTGCACCCGTTTTTAAGGACATGTTAAACAACTTTGCTAATAGCATACCAAGCTCTTCCTTACATTCCTTTAATACTCTGGCAAATATCTCATTGGGACCTGGTGACTTATTAGGCTTTAGTTTGTCTATTTGCTTACTAACATTGTTACTAGTCACTACTATCTCACTTAACTTATTTTCTTCACTATCTCTGTATAGAGTCGGTGCCTCGGGTATCATGTTTAAATTTTCGGTGGTGACAACTGTTCAAAAATATTTATTCAGATTATTGCTCATTTCTCTGTCGTTATCAGGTAGCTCGCCGGTATCCGACTGTATTGGTCTAATCTTTTCTCGTGTTTTAGTTTGATACATTTGATGGAATCCCTTGGGGTTTGACTTCGCCTCCCTTGGTACCTTCAGTTCTTTATTCCTCTTTGCTTTTCTTATCTCGGGCTTAACCTTACTGGCCAATACCTTGTAATAATCTCGGAGGTAAACTTCACCACGATTTATTCTCCTACCTATAGCCTTCCTTTGTCCAATAATGTTCTTTAAGTAATTATTTATCCATTTAGGGTCATTGTTGTTTGATCTGAGTTTTCTGTATGGTATGTTCTGCCTTTATGCATTAACTCATTATTTAAATTGTTGTGGAACTCGTCAACCTCAGATCTCGTTATCAGGTCTCCAGGTAAGGTGAGGTCACCCTCTGTGGGTACATTGTGTGAGGACACCCCATGTAAGGTCATGTAATTCACCCCAAGTGTGATACCCCATCTCTCAGCTGCCTCTTCAAACTATCAAAGTTGCCCTTCTGAAATCTGGGACTTCAGTGGAATTTTCCTTGCAGCTGCCCTGAAATTCTAACTGGAATCTAATTTCTTTGTGATTGCTGTTAGCAAGTTCGTTCCCTACCTCGACATTACTAATGAGGTTTTCTCTGTTTGACAGAACTAAATCGAGTACTATATTATTACCCCGGGTGGGTTCGGTTATATGTTGGATTAGGAAACAGTCTTGGATTGATTCAAGAAAATCCTCTGATTCCGAGTTACCCGTAAGGTAAATCCAATTTGTTTGGCTAAAGTTAAAGTCACCTTCTATACAGACTTTGCTATGTATGGAAGCCCTGCTCATTTCATCCCAGATAAGTCGCTCATTAACTCTATCAAGATTAGGATGTCTATATATTACTCCTGTAATTAATTTTTCCCTACCATCGATTAATTCTATCCAAATTGTTTCTGTATTACGCTCAGTTTTTATTTCCTTATTTATTTCACACTTCAGATTATCCCTGACATAGGTTGCTACTCCGCCTCCTTTTCTAATCTGTCTGTCGGTATGGAATAATTTGTAACCTGCAATTTGGTATTCGACAGGTAACTCACGTGAGTAGGTTTATCCATGTTTCGGTGAATGCTATTACAGTAAAAGTTCAAAAATCCGGATGCCAGAAATCCGGACCACCCGAGAATCCGGACTTTTCGAAAACTTTCAAACTTTTTAAATTTAGCGGGCTTTTGTGGGTTACGTGAATGAATGGCGTTCCTTTAAAAAAATTAATTTACATAATTCTAATAATAAAAGTAATTGTAAATTATAGGTAGCTAATTTTGTTCGTTTTGTAATTAGCTTGTCCTCAAATGTAAAATTTGTGGCACTGTAAATCTTTTGTGTGTATGTGTGCATGCCTGAACGCCACAGCGACAACAAGCGACCACGCGATCGCCACTTTAAAACAAGCAATCAAACTGTGACAACATATGTAATTTTGAGTCCTACTCTTTCCATTTACAGAGTACAAGCCCATAATAATGGCTCCTAAAGTAGATAAACTTCGTTGTGTGAAGAGAAAGAAGAACACATTGAAATTGAGTGACAAACTTGAAATAATTAAGAAACTAGAACGTGGTGTGAGCAATACTGATCTAATGGAAACATACGACATTGGAAAGTCTACAATTTATGATATAAAAAAGGCAGAGAATAAAATTCTAGAATTCACAGCTTCTTCTGAGCCTTACAATAAAATTGCTGAAAGAAAAAGTTTACATTGGCCCAAATTAGAAAATCTTGATAAAGTGTTGCACAAATGGTTTTTGTTAAAACGATCAGAAGGTATGGCAATTTATGGGCTGATGCTTTTTGCCAAAGCCAAGTCTTTTAAGGAGCAAATAAACATTGAATCAGAGTGAGCATTTAGCGATGGATGGCTTTGGAATTTCAAGACTCGTCATGGTATTAGACAGTTTGTTTACATTTTTGTCAAGTGTTGACTTTATTTTTCTTTAAAACTGCTCATTTTGATAAATGAAGCATGCTTTACTTGCTTATGAATAAACTCTCAAAATGTACCTGTTCATCTCTTCTTTATTCCTCCTTAAATTTGAATTTTAAAAGTACTGCCTGAGAATCCGGAAAATCCGAAAATCCGGACCGACCCAATCCCCCAAGCAGCCCGGATTTTTGGACTTCTACTGTATATAGATTTTTTCGGTACATACCAACGCCCTGATTTCATCCATTTTGTTTCTCATACTTCTACTGTTTGCGTAGTAGACATTTAAGTTAGTCGTGTTCCGAGTCCTCTCTTTGTCACGTTTAGGTTTTAATTCCC